CAGTGATTGTGCTTTCTGAGGTACAAATGCTGCCTGAAACTGGAGCTGGGCCCTGGCCTGACAGGGGACAGTGACTGCAAAATTTGTGTGGCTGCATTCCACAGGTCTTTCCTAGCACATTCCCTGTGAAAAGAAACATCAGTGGCTTTGCCACAAACAAACTTCCTTTTCTCTGACGTGGTTGGGCTGGGGCAAAAAAGTGAAAGTGCATATGGTTAAACATACATTGTTTAAAAATTTATGCGAATGCATACAAATCATCAGAGGTGTTAAGTGCATTGTAGCCTGAATGCCAAATGGATTCCCAGCTCATGTAGAGGCCTCAGAGACTTTGTTTATACTGGCCAGAGAATTCCTGGACAGCGAGCTGAATTAAAGGCTGCTCTTCAGCAGCAACATGGATCTCACTAAGTCAATTGCTGCAGCAGTTCAGCCAGTTAGTGGGGAAGGTCGTAATTTGTCTGGGGTATTTCTGTTGGAGATCTGACTGGAGGGAGGAGCAAGAAAAGCAGATCCCTAAAAACGGTGCAATGTTATTGCTTTCCATGTCAGATTTGAAAGAGCTCCAACTGCTAAGTCAGGGTGAATAAATTAACCACCTGTGACAGCCCAGCAGTCTGCTGGAGGCCTGGCTATCTCAAATACATCCTATGGAAAGTTAAAAGCAAACGTTTTCTGATAAACAGGAAACCTGCACATGCTAAAATGCTGATGCCTTGATAGCACATGAATCCCAGAAAACACAGGTAAAATGTCTCGTGTTTGAAACATCCTTCCTTCTACTGCTTACCTGAGATAGGAGCAAAAGGTCACTTGAGGCAAATTTGAGGATTTCTTTAAGTTAGGCTTAAAGATCCTGGGCTATGATTTGTAAAGGTGCCTGAGAAAGTTAGAAAATCAACCTGAAGTGATTTTTTTTCATGTAGCTGAGGAAAGACTCTAAAAATCTTTACTGTTGCAAACAGCCTGGCTGAGAAATCGATTTAGTTGATTCTTTGTGTGCCTTAGAACATTTCCTAAACCAAATATTAAACCTGATGTCAACAAGGCCCATAAATCTTTTAAACCTCTATCACTGCTATTTGATTGCTGAAGACTGTTCAAGGAGTTTAAATAGATTTCCATTTTAGTAGACTAAGTACAAGGTTCCTTAAAAGAAAATAAAAACATAGGCTGAAAATCTTACTCTTGAAACTTAACCTACCAAGCATGAATATGAAAAAATGTAGAGTAAAGGCCAGTATTGTTTGCAATAGACACAAGCATTTTGCAAATTTGACAGTTCTGGCAATGTGTAATTCCTGTGAACAAGTGCTGCAGGTAGAAGGGCGATGTTTTAAGGGTGCAGTTGCTTCTTTTCATTAGCTGAGTTACTGTTGATAATGTCACAGTTCCATTTCATGCAGCAATGTTTGTGTGCATTTATAGACACGAACAAAACGCGAGCCTTTCGTCTTCTGAACTTTCCCTGAGCAATTTTCTCTACTCCGTCAGTTTGAGCTGCTCCTTCTCTGCTGATTTAAGTCATCAAAATCTTCCAGGCCATTGTAATCCTTTGGCATTCTCTTTCGTGCTGGATTCATACCTCAGTTATCCTGAAGTATATCTGTTAGGAGGGGACATGAAATGAAAAAAAAAAGTAGCATTAAAGATGAATGAGTTCACGTAACATTCTTATAGTTTGTGTATCACTCTGCCAGAAGCAGGTGCCCTGCCCATCTTTGCTGTGCCCAGTGCCCTGCCTCTGGCAGCTGACCATGCCCAGGTGGCTGTGCAGAGGTGCAGTGGTGCCAGCGCTGCCTTTGTTGTGTTCAGAAATGAGCTGCACCATGGAGAAGGCGCTGGCGGACGCGAAGGCGCTGGTGGAGCGGCTGAGGGAGCACGACAGCGCGGCCGAGGCGCTCATCGAACAGACCACGGCACTCAGCAAGCGGGTGGAAGCCATGAAACAGGTCTGCTCCTGGGAATGGAAGCACTTCCAGCTCTGGGGGCTTTGTGCAGCACGGAATGAGCGTGCCGTTGGGTTAATCCTGTAATGCGGACTTGGTGTTTTTAGTCGAGGTGTGGATCTCCTCTCAAAATAGTTTGTTTATATAGTTTGAAACTGTGAAAATATTTTCACAGTTACTCCAGTTTAAATATTGAAAGCAAGCATTTATTTGAAGAACACTAGTAGAAATGGGCTTGGTATCTTACAAACCACTCTGTGGCGTCTCTTGGTTTGCCCTCCAATGCAATACTACACATTTTTATTAATTTAATCATGCCCATTTAATCATACAGAGGCTCTGGCATGTTTTCTTCTGTACAGAATACTTTGTCTTTGCACTGTCTCCTTTTGTTTCCAAATAGCCTCTTGGGCTTTTTTGTGCTCATTTCTATTCTGACGTTAAGCTGCTTAAGGCACATTGTTAGATTGAGTGTGACTTTCACAAGACAGCTCCTGGGAAAACATAAAGATGTCTTGTGACTTTCCATATGGCAGTCCATCCTGCCCCTTTAATGAACCCAAGATATGTTAATAGGCCTATAACATTATAACACCCTGCATGCAATTCAGCCCTGTAAAACTAGGCAGATGCTTCATGGCTTCAGATCAAGAGTATTACATATCCCCATCTGTTGGGAGTCAGGATCCATTGACTCAGGCCCAAGTGACTTGTACCCATACAGCCTGGTGGTTTAAGGTTTTGGGAAGCCACAGTAAATGTCAGGAGGTTAATACCTCATGGTTTGTCTTTACCACATATCTATGAGTTTTAAATTGCCTGATGGTGAACTTGGCCTGCATTAATTGAAGGTTAAATAGCATCCACTACACACATCTAAGGTATGAAACTTGCTTAAAAATAAAGGTGATGCTTTTGTGTCTCTAAAGGACAGCATGTCTGCAACACTTTCTGGTGTGTGTGTTTGATATTACTTATTTAAAAGCAAGCATTGTCTTCCTGGTTACAGACTGTGACTGACAGTAGAACTGGTGCTTTGTGACCTGCTGGGTAATACCTGCCCTTGGTTAATCAAATGTGCTGTGCCTTGTTGGTTTGTTTTTGTAATAACCAGTATCAGGAAGAAGTCCAAGAGCTCAATGAAGTAGCAAGACATCGCCCTCGGTCTACTCTAGTGATGGGTATCCAACAGGAAAACAGACAGATTAGAGAATTGCAACAGGAAAACAAAGGTAAATTATAAATATTCTATCCTTTCCAAGCTCCAGCCTGTACCACTGGAAATAGTGAGACTTTTACCACTGATCTTTTTTCAAAACAGAGCTCTAGAAGAAATTTTTTCTTCTAATTTCAATTTGTCAGTTTAACTGATCATAATTCAATTCAAGAGTCCTAAAGTCCAAACTCCGGGTCTGATGAAGAAAAAGAGATTTGGGAAAAATTACTTTTTTCAGTCCTTACCTAATCTTCAGCACAAGTGAGGAGATAAATAGAACATAATTTTGCAATATAGGGATCCTTTTGGAGACCTGTTTAACCACTGCTGAAAATAATAGGAACAGTCATGGTATAAGCAGAGAAGTATAATTCCATCTGGAATTCTGTACACTAGGAATGCACTGTTCCTCCAGGAAAGCCTTAGATATTCTAACAGTTCCACTCAGCAAAGGATTCAGTGAGCTCAGTTCAGATGAGTCTTGCCTTAACTCAGGAGTTATTTATCCTTTGTCTCAGTAGATTTTGAACTGGAGCATTTTTCAACTCTGGTTTTATCCAGCTGCAGATTAAGACAGACCTGCCAACTCTTTCCTACCTTTTGTGGAGTGTGGCTTGTAGTGGCTGGGGTAAAGCTGCTCAGCCACACTCCAGATGCTTTTGTCAGCCACAGGAGCTGAACACGAAGTCACACTAACAAAAGACTGTTTGTTACTAACCAGGAATTGTCCCAGGCTGGTCGCCATCAAAGCCACTGGCAGAGCCTGTGTTGATTTCATGGTGCAGGGACTGGGGACACTCAATTATGGGCTCATTTCGGTTTTCTCAAGCTAAAATACATGTGCATTTTGATTTGGTTCTCTGTGTTAAACTCTAGACTGCATTTAAATTAAATTAAATTTGTGTTAAACTCTTAAGTGCATTTTAAATTCTGTTGGCAGAACTGCGCACATCTCTGGAAGAGCACCAGTCAGCTCTGGAACTCATCATGAGCAAGTACAGAGAACAGATGTTTAGGTTGCTTATGGCAAGCAAAAAGGATGATCCAAGTATAATAATGAAGTTAAAAGAGCAACATTCCAAGGTAATAACTTCATTGAGGATTTTTGCTTTGTTTTTTAGTTAACACCTTACTTTGTAGGGGATCAATTCAAAACTCACTTTGTGTCAATTTTTGTACTGCTAATGAGTCCTAATTTTTAAAATCCATTCCATGCAACATAACAGGAAACTATCAGTTGAGCAAGTCAACCTTACCACCTTCTCATTTATTAAAACTTTCAACAGGTAGCATTTCAGTACTGCATTTGCTTAATTTACTTTACTTTCATGTCAGTCTTTAAGGTAACTGCCCTGTTACACTGCCAGAGGTTAGTAATAATCAGACTTTTAGGCTACCTTTAATTTATGCTTGTGACACCAACAAATAATTATTAATTTTGTACTTAGGGAGAGTAGGAGGAACAAGCTTTTTAAATTCGATACTCAAATATTTTTCCCCTAAATATTGTAAATAAATTTTAAAAATTAAAATTCCTTTTGACTATTGATTAACTGCATAAATAAGGAAACACAAGTGTATGTTCAGTTATTCAGTAGTCTAAATGACTATTCAATTTTGGGGGAAATCATTCTGGGTCACTAACAAATCTAAACAGGAGCTTTTTAGCAAAATATTACATTTCATTGAAAATGTAACATAATCATTAGAGCGATGCAGCTGTGTAGACAAACAAGTTCTAAGTGTTTAATAATCTTTGCCTTCAGCTAATTTAGGTGTGAAAAGCAAAGTTAGGGTCTCCTTACTGGGAAAACAATTTAAGAATTTTGATTCTTTCTTACCTGCTTACAGCATCCTATGTGTGTAAATATTGCCATTAGTATGAAAAAATATTATTGGATTAGAACTATATCTTTAACATAAAATCTTGAAAAATGACAGATAAAGATCATTTTCAACAGAAGTTACCTCAGAATATGGTATAGCATCTGCTTCAGCTTCAGGAGAACCAACACAAGAGGGTAAAATGAAATCCATCCTGAAATGGACTGTGGTAGTTCATTTAGGAGCATTTCAATGGAAAGGCAGGAAAAAGAAAAAAAGAAAAAATAACATCTCACAAAGTAATTGGAATAGGAGATTTAGGCTTCAACATTTTCATTAAACCTCTTCCTTCCTGAATGCCTGACGAAAAAGATTTATCACCCTGACACATAGGATTTCTGGAATTTCATTATTTATTCTCTGGCTCAAGCTTTGTATTTAGGAAGAGAGAACAATGTTGAAACACTCCTTAAATACCTCTCTCTTGTTAAGTAAAAAATCCATTATACCCAAGGAGTTAAACTCTGTATTTCCAGTAATGCTGTTTTCCTGAGTGCCAGCTGTTATTTTAGTGCCTGTTTACAGATATTACAAGAACATTGATTGCTACAGATGAAGAAGCACCTCTTTAAATAGAACAACAGTGTTTTGTTAGTGTTGTATGCAAGAGTAAAGTGTGTGTTGGTGGTAATGACCCTGATCTAAGTGTTCCGTTTGAATTTGCTCAGCTGAAACAAAAATGGATGTGGCCCCTTTTTGGTTTTTATCTCTTTAGAGAGAAAAAACCCAATGTGTATGAAAGAGGCTTTCACTGTCACTGCACTCTTTGTTTTTACCCCAAGTTTTCCACATGTGCCTTCCAGAGCAGAGCCTTCCAGTTTTGTGTTAGGATCCAACCTAACATCAGTGACCTTGGAACAGGCCTGAAGTTCTATTGATCCAGAGCCCACATGAGCTGTGAAAGCAGGAAGCAGGGAGAACAGCAGTATATCTGAAACCCACAGCTCCCACTCAGTCTTTCTCAAGGGTGCATCCTTGCTTGACCACAGCTTCCTGTCAATCTAAATTTGGGAGTTATTTAAAAAAAAATTGTTTCATGTCATCACCTGCAGTAGAAACTGAGAAGATTACCAATAAAGATTACCGGCAAGTTCTTCCCCGCCCCCTCACATTGAGAGTGGGCATTAACAACTGCTAAATTATAGCTTGGGCAATTGGAATGGCAGAGAGGAGAGGGCTGATGTTTATTTCAGTAAAGGGTATTTGTTTTGGTCAGATAAGTTTATGATTCCAACTGAGTTCTTTGTGGTAGTTTAAAGGCAACTGTATGGATCAGCTGCTGTATGGCTATATGCCAGCTGTATGGATCTCCCATCAAATTCATCATTTAAAGGTGGGATTTAGCTTTAGTCTCTACTGTCCTTCAGTTCAGCTCTCCTGTCCTGCTTTTCCTGATATTAGTCAATAAATATTGTGGATTTGGTCCAAAGGCCAGATCAGGCACAACTAGACTGGCATCATAGCAGAGTTGGAATAAAAGACAAGCTGAAAAATGAAAGCTGTTGGAAATACCTTTAAACTGTCTGGCTCAACTGAGCAGCAGTGAATGCCAGAGGGGCACAGGCTTCTCATGTAGCTTTGCAGGGAAAGGCAGCAGTGACCCATATCCTGAACCTCTGATGTCCAGAGCCCAACCAAATAAGCTGGAATTGGAGGTGGAGTCAAGCAAAAGTATCTAAAATAGAGAGTGGAGGACAGGTTTGAGTTTTGTAATATATGGCATAGTAAGGGTGATCACTGCACCTGCTCTTTTTTAGAGAGAAATGCCTGTCCATGGACTGGTACTGGAGATCAGGTTTCAAACACCTGGAAGGAATGTGGCTTTCCCTGCTGTTCTCACAGGCGTGGAGCAGTTTTGCATATCCAAAATAACAAACATCAGTTCCTGCTGCACAGGAGAGCCTGGTCAGGGCAAGCACAGCACCATCTTGTAGCCATTTTGAGGCCAGGGATAGCAGTTGGTTAAGCCTGTATCAAATTCCACTGTGGGGCAAACCAGGTTTATTTAAATAAACAGGACCACTGTGGCTGCCCACACTGTAGAGTTGGAAAGAATATGTTTTCCAAAATTGAGGTCTGTGATAAAAAACGTCACAGCAGGTAAACCATGTTTAATGCTTTGCTTTTTTAATAATGCAGAAAATATATCATTAACATATTACTAAATATTGTATCTCAGGAGCTGCAAGTGCACGTGGACCAAATTACAGAGATGGCAGCTGTGATGAGAAAAGCCATTGAGGTGGATGAAAGGCACGGCTGCAAAGAGCAGGAGCGCATCACCCAGCTTGAGGTGAGGAGAAAGCTGCAGAGGCACAGATATTAAATGGAGTAAAGATCCTCCCAGGTGTTTTGTGGAGTTACTGGCCCAGTCACTCACTGCTGTTGTGTTACCCTTGCCTTGCTGGAGCAGTGGAAGCACCACTACAGATTAATCTCAAGGAGGGGATCCAAGAGAGCAAGAGAGTCAGAAACCTCATGTGCTCCCTTGGAGAAGATGACACATCACTGATTTCAAGTCAGGATTTTACTCCTTATGCATTAGTTTGGAGTAGAGGGGAGGTTTAACAGCTACCCTCATTTCTTTCTGGAGTCATACTAATGTATTTTTCTCTCTCTGGTTTTAGCAAGAAAACAAAGGCTTGAGAGAAATTCTTCAAATCACTAGAGAATCGTTTCTGAACCTCAAGAAAGATGATGCATCAGAGAGCACGTCCCTGTCAGGATTAGTGACAAGCAGTGATCTGAGCCTGAGGAAAAGCTAAGGACTCTGGGAATCAGCAAGCTTCAGTTGCACACTTAAACCAATGGAGCATCAGGGGGCACTGGTCAAGCACTTGTTACTGAATAGGGCACCAGCAGGAGAATGCATCCAGCTCCAGCTCAGTGGCTTTTATACTTTGTAACATAAATTCAGCTGGTGTTCTGCAATACCCTCAGTGACAGATTAATTGCCATAGATCTATCCTCAGTAGGAAATGGATTAATGCACTTGCTGAATAGCAAATTCTTTTTATATGAACTTGTTTTACAGATAAAAGGTGAGATTTCAAGTAATTTATATAAATTATTGCTCATCCAAAGTTCAGTGCAACTCTTAGATAATAAAGGTAAGATTTCAAGTCTGATCTCTGCCTTAGAAAGTAGTAACTTATGAATATGCTTTGTGCATGATCCTCATGGCATTTTTTCCTTTTGTTTTGGTTTTAATAACTTCTCATTTTGCAACAAACCTCTTTGATGGGAGGGGCACACCGGCAGCATAAAATTTAAGGATTTCTGTTATTTAGCCTTGGGGTATCACTTTCAAATACAAGGCCAATTTTTAAACATAAGGAATGCTGTCAATCAACAGTTTGGAGTTTTTAAGTGAAAGAAAACTTTCAAATATGTTCACTGAACTGTATTGTGAGAACACGGAAAGAGCTGTTCCCACTTTGTTGTTCTCAGGAACACAGGCAGCAATACAATTCTGCCTCAGCTTTTACCTTTAGGAGAGGAAATCCAGCTCCGTTCTGTCAGTAAGAAGCCACATGAGTCCCATGTCTTTCTCCTCCAGTTGCCTGCCCAAACTGTCCGAGTGAGGAATGGCAACTGGAAAGCACAAAAGCAGTGGCAGAAGAAAAGGGGGGTGGAGGAAAGGAGGCAGCAGCTTCATGGCAGAGTTGGCAGCCTGCAATTAATACTCTTCATTTTCCTTTCTCCAGTACTAACTAGTCCTCAAGAAGGTTTTAAAGTGAGTTAAGCAGAGTGAAAGCTGTCAGCTACAGAAAACTGTGGAACTACAGCTGCCACCCACAGTCACATTCTGGCTGTTCAATAACCCACCAAGCAACATGAGCTGAGCTATCCTGAAATCAACCACCACTTAGTCAAGTTTGAGTCACAGCAACACAGAAGGGACTAAGCATCCAACACTACCAAGTTTGCCAGCTTCAGTACAGCTTCCTGTGCCGCAGCACAACTTCTCTGAGCTCGAGGTAAATGTTCCATATGCCTAAGGGGGAGCTTTCAGAGGCACTGAACCGACTTAGGAACAGCTCAGTACTTTTGTGCTGTTATCTCTGTTGCTGCTCATTCCTGTGGTGCTTTTAAGAGGAAATAAGTGAGAAAGGAGAATTAGCAGGCAGTAAATGCATATTTTCAGAGAACTAATATTACACACGCTGACAGGACAGGTAAATCAGGTCTCCACATTCTCACAGCCTGCTTTAGAAATGGAGAAACTGCTGCTTCTCTGCAGAGCACCTTGGCTTCTTGCTAGGCTTAAGAACACACTGAGGACATTCACATGCATGGAAAAATTTATGGCCATTTCCAGACTTGTGAAACAGCCATGGGAAAATTCTGGGGGAGCATTTTAGCTCAAGCACAAAATATTCTTCTCTGCTTTTATCGTATCTGTAAAGCTTCACCGGTACTTCTCTAATCTAGATTTTGCATTTCTGCCATGGCTTGCAAGCTGCTGACTTACCAGAAGCAACATCTTTTTTCACTGGAGTGTTCTGTTGTTGCAAACTTACAAGGAATTTTGGGTTCAGTTGTTGAAGTTCTTGTTTCTAGAAGCATCTTTTCAGCCATGCACTAGTGTCAAGAGGCATTTCTATCCATTTGATGCTGAATTCAGCTTCATGGCTGACTTCTGGTTTGGCTTCCAAATGCAGAAGAGGGTTGTTGGTCTGTGGCAGTACTTTGAGGTTGCTCTATTATGAAATAATGCTTGATTAGTGTTTATTTTTGTAAATTTAAAAAAAAAAAGTGACTTAATTTATCTACTCCTAGTCTTCACATTTGATACATCTTCCCTTTCATTCCCCTCCCCTGATCACTTTAGGATTTTAAAGAGCCTTCACAGTGTGTGGAGTGACTATTTTTCATTGCATACCTGTTATTTTTGTAATGCAGATGGCTTGGAAAGGATTTATGGCTAGAATTGTGTACTGTACAGTAAACTTATTTTATCAATAAAGTTGACTGAAAACACAGATGTCTCCATGACTAAAACAAGGTAATGGCTCTGAGATGTGCCTTGTTGGCAATACAAGATAAAGTAACCAAAACTGTTCTATGTGGCAGCTGTTTAGCTGAGGGCAGACTGAAACTCAATTTGGCTAGTTTGTACATCTAAAAGCTTTGAACAGCATTGACTTTTTAACAAGCACATGGGATTAGAAGATTGTTAAAAAACAGAAGTAATGGCACTGTTTTCATGGAGAATTACATAATTACATGTACTGGGATCCCTGTGTAAATGCCCAATGGTTTAGGGAGTTTTCTTAAGTACTTTTTCTGATTAAAAGAGGAATTTCCAAGTCCTCTGTTGGAATGCAAAACTTGAACTTGGTTTTTTTTTTTTTTTTTGAGAGCCTGGAGTCTGAGTGTCTGGGGCACAACCGGCTGTCACTTTGGCCAGGAGAGCACTGTGGTGCTGCTCACAGCATGAAGGCAGAGGGAAGGTGCGACCTTAAAGCTCCTCCAGTGCTACCTCTTGTCATGGGCAGGGACACCTTCCACTATCTCAGGTTGCTCCAAGCCGTCTCCAGCCTGGCCTTGAACACTGCCTGGGCTGGGGCAGCTACAGCTTCTCTGGACAAGTATTTTGTAATTTTTATTAGTTCTTCTGTGACAAATCAGCTGCACACACCTGTTATCCAGCCAAGCTGATAAGAGAGCACAAGTCAACTAAATGCAGGTTTTAGTGGGTCCTGTGTACAAAACTACATCAAGTCATTCCTTTGCTTCTGGACCATTTAGCATAAGTGGGGCTGAACAGGAACAGCATGGGAGGAGAGATCGAGTTCCTGCTGCCTGCAACCACCTTCCTGTCCCCAGACACTGAGAGCCAGTGTGGCCCTTTTATCAGGAATATCCTTATTTCCCACATTCAGGGAAAAACTCACCAGACAATTGCCTTAACCAACTGCTCAGCAAGGAAGGAAACACTTTGTCACTGCAGTGTTGGAAGAAGCATGTGCTGGCAGCATTCCTCAGGCACCAGCCAGAGAACAGGCACAGGGGAAACCCACCAACTCCAGCTGCAGTCTCTTTCCATTTCCCAAGGTGAAGGTTTACTTTTTTGAAGAATGTCGGACAATGACTTCCCTGCGGTGTTCTCAGCACCAGAATTCTCCCAATCCATACACATGAGACTGGCTCTTCCAGCAGAGAGGAGCAGTAGAGCTGGTTTTGAGAAGTCAGTTCTTGGGAGCTCAACACAGCACACCAATGGATGCAGGGTGATCAGCACCTTCCCTTTTCCAATACTACATTCAGGAACACAGTAAACAAATTTTTTAATGACTCATCATCTGCAACTCATTACATTCCTGGCTAAGCAAACAGCAGCTGCCTCCTACAATTCTCTACCTGTGCTTCTTTGTTTCCTGCATATGGCTTTCACCCTCACTCTCAGCATTCAGGATTTTAAAAAAATATATAATCCAGCTCATTTTGAGCATATTAATAATCTGTTGTTACACTAGATAACGTGGAAAAGTTGGAACTGGTGCTTTTTCTGATGAGGCAGCCTTGTGAGGACCTAGTTCTGAAGCAGGCAGGGAAGTTTTACACAACCATCTTCTCCTGCCACTCCCTCTCGCCCCCAAAATGAGCATTTTATTGCTCTGGTTTGAAGTTGACTTCTCCCAGCATGCAAGGAAGGACAAAGCCCTTCATGCTCAGCAAGAGTCAGCTGGCTGCCTTGAGCTGGGGCTGGAGCAGACAGGCTCTGAGAGCAATAAAATAAATATAATTAACAACAAGCATCTGTTGAACACACAAGTGTTAAAGGAGCTGTTGTTTCTAGAGAAAACTGATACGAGAGCTACTAATCCAGGATGTGGGAGGGCAACCAGATGGACACTGGCAAAATCCAAATAAATCTGGATATATCAATATAGCTATGCATTCCTGCTCCTGAGTAAGAACACAATAACCTAACACAATACTCACCTTGCATACCCAAAGGCTCAGTGTTTCTTATGCTGACTCTTCACTGGATAAACCAACCAGGAACCAAAGTTCCACTGAAGCCCACCCTAAAAAACACTGCCAAGATCACTGCAGACCTACAGCTGCTGACGGGTCAGAAGGCAGAGAGATGAAAAGCTCCAAGGTTCAGTGAAAAATGCATATTTTGAGACAGAGCCTACTGATTCTTCTGGAGGGGCTCCCTCTTCTTTGGAAGTCTTTCCAGACCAAGGACAGCAGGGATTCACAGAATCATAGAAGGGTTTGTGCTGTATGGCACCTTAAAGAGACCGTGAACAGATCTCACCCTGCACCTCAAGGGGTACACAAAAAAAAAAAAAAAAGCCTTGAAAATAGCCCTTCAACACCACAGTGGATCAGTTTATGTATGCTGATCATCACCACTGTTACTCACTGTGGCTTAGGGACTACGGAAGAAAACTTCTGAACCATCTCTTGGCAGGACCAAAAAAGGAAACAATCTCCAAGTCAGCATCTCAGAAAAAGAATTCAAAGTCTACTTCTGCTAGAAGATTCCTATGTGATCTTGCAGACCAGTTTTCAGGCAAGAAGGGGGTGACAATCGTTCCTTTGTTCTCCAGAGCCTCATCTAACAAACCTCTCCAAAAAAAAGCCTCTCAGGACCACACGCTTCCCTCAGTGGCTGCACAGAGCACATGCCACACTCTCAGCCTCTGGATGTCACTGCAATACCTGCCAAACTCCCTCACCTCAGCCCTTGGCCAGAAGAAATTTTTCAAAGCAAACTCTCCCTACAAGATCAAAGACAGAGGCTAAACTGTAAAAGCATCACTGAATTCAAAGAGACCCCTTTAGTTTCAATATTCTTTGAAAAGACATCTTTATTATAAAAGATATAGAAAATTAAAGTTAAACTTGTTTCTTGCACAATGTTAATTGCAGCAGTTATAAAAATCCACCAAGGTAAACACATTTAAGAGCATTTCTATACCACAGAAGGTTTTGCTGCTTGCCATGACACATGGCAGAGACATGCTCAGGATGAGTGCAGGGAGGATGGGCAGAGACCTGGGGAAGAGCTCCTTGTTTACCCCATGTGCCACGCAATAGCACAGGGAAACCAGACCCAAACCGCAGGATTTCAGCCTTGCTTTGCTGTTTGAGGAAGGTGCTCCAGCTCCAAGCAAGGATGAGATTTTTCTCTAAACATCAGAATGATTTAGTCACCTCAGACACTGTCTTTGAGCTCTCACTCCTTAAAGAAAAGCCATTTAAAAGTCATTCATTCCTCTCTATGCCAAGGTGTTTTAACTTACAACAAAGTTCCCAGAAAAAGTTATTTTGCCATTTTCCTCTGTTTCTTACAGATTTCCTACCAAGAATTTAAAGTGGTGGCTGAGAGCTTAAGCTTTTACTCCTGGGGAATTCCCTCATGGAGACTCCATGCAGGCACCTGAGCAGCCACTCATCTCACACAGGCAGGACTATGCACTCAGCTGCTCTCACTGAAGGTTCAGACACAGACACAGGGAGGAGAAGGAGGAAGAGTCACCATACTCTGTGTCAAAGTACAGCATGTGAGACTTGAGCCATCCTTCAGTGCATGACAGACTCCCACAGGAGACCAGGACAGGGCACAAGGGACATGCACAGGTAGAACACCCTCAGGTCTCTTTGGGATGAGCCAAAAACACATCACTCCAGCTGACATTTTGAAAATGGCTCTTGGTTTTTGTTTTTTTTGGGATTGTTTTTTTTTGTTGTTTTTTTGGTTTTTTGTTTTTTTTAAGAAGAGCATAAAGCCACCACATGAGATTGGTCCCTCATCTGTTTTTATACTACATTCTGCTTTGGGCAGATGCAATTCAAATAGGTAAGGAACACATTCAGTCAGCAAGGTTCCTGGTCAGTATCTTGCTAGCTGAATGCTATTTTCACCCCTTAAAGTCAAAGTTAAAAGATGAATAAAAATAAATAATTAGTGTTTCAGCCAACTCCTGGGGGAAAAATTTGCAATTGGCTACAAAGAGCTTATTTACTTTTTTCTTTTATGACAGCACCATTAGAAAAGATACTATAACAGAGCAGAAACAAGAACAAGCTGTTCAGAAAGCAAACAGAGACAAACCTCTTGTGTTCTCTTAGCAGCCATTTCTGCACAGAGACCAGATGACTGGCTTGCTACAAAAGCAACCAAAAGCAAAGGAAAAAGTCTTCTTGTCTCAGATCAGTTCCCATTCCCGAGCCCCACAGTGCACATGTACTACAGTTAACTCAGTGCAGTTTCAATTCAAGTCATTCAGTTCAGCTTGCAAGGTTCAGTAACACTTCGTGGCAAGTGCCTGCAGCCACAAGTTTTGTACCTGTTAGAAGGAGATGCTCAGTTCCTGATGGAAGAATTCCTTGTATGTCCAGTCCCTATCTCTCCCCTCACAGCTGGACAGGCCGCCCACACCCTTGGGAGTGAGTTGGGCACTGCCTCAGCAGACATTTCCACATGCAAAGGAACAATCAGCAGGTTGCTTTCCAAGGTCTGTTTGATATTTCACATACCCAAACAGCAAGGTAGATCCCACAGGATCAATGCCTGTCCTTGGCAGGAGGAGTACAGGATTCTGCAGCTGGACACAAGCAGGTTGCAGCAGGCAGAGTGTGTCACAGAGGAGTCACAAACAGCGTGTAGTGTACTAGACAGGTAAACGCTCTGTCAAGCAGCAATCTCTTATTCAGCAGGACAAATTAGCAGTGGTAAATCTTGCACTACTGCTGGTTGCTGGTAATCATCTCACCATTCCCAGATCCTCCCTCTCCATTCCCCATCAGTTATTTGGCAAGTTAAAGAAGCAGTGGAGTTCTCTCCCCAGCTGGCTGGTCTTTCTGGAAGAACTCTTTGAAATGCAGCAGCTTGTTGTGGATCCTCTCTCTCAAGGGAGGGATATGATGGCTGGGGTCTAAGACATTGGTGCTTCTACGTTCCCTTTCCCTCTTCCAGGTGAGATAGGGATGTGGTGGGAAGGGCACCTCACTCCTCTCCCGGCGGAGCTGCACAGTGACCCCGCTGAGGGCCAGCATTGCCCACACTGACAGGATGATGAAGTCTGGAAAAAGAGAAACAGATTCCTGTAGCAAAGAATATTCCTTGCTTTCTCAAGCACAAACACTGAACTAGTTTCGTGACAGAAAGGAATGAAGTATCATCCCCACATCTTCAGATGCCCAGAGCAACTCCATGCAGAGGCAGGACACACAGGGAGTTGGGAAGAGTCTCTTCACTGTATCAAGTCTTTGACTGCCCACTCTGCACACTCCTCAGCAAGCTGCCAACACAAGTCTGAGCAGCACCTTTCACAAGGGCCTTTGTCACAACACCTCCAGGAAAGTTCCTGCCTTTGAATCTACTCAGTACTGATTTTGAAGGACTAGAATTTCTCATATGGATGTTAAATCTCACACCATACTGTGTTCTCCTTCCATCCCCTTCCTGCCCTCACTCTACTGTTTACAACAGAACCAAGGAGGCAGTAATTCCTCCTTAAAAAGAGAATAAAGTCTCAGGAGGACTCACCATTCCTTTGAAAAGGCACATTGGTGTAAGCTCTGCTGAAATAATTGTTGAGGACTCTCCTGAGCAGGTCTAAGGTGATGTAAGCAAGGCTTGTGTAGACATAGCAAGCAATGGCCAGGATCACCGTGTAAGAGCCCACTATTCCAGAAGCCAAGATGTTCAGCTAGACAAGGAGAAAAAACACACCTTTAGGAGACTGAGGAACACTCTTTATTCCCCACCTCCCTAAGACAGTAGAATCACAGAATCATGGAATGGCCTGGATTGAAAAGGACCTGAAAGCCTATCCAGTTCCAACCCCCTGTCATGGGCCAGGGACACCTTCCACTGCCCCAGGTTTCTCCAAGTCTGTCTAACCTGGCCTTGGACACTGCCTGGGATGGGGCAACCACAGCTTCTCTGGACAAGTATTTTGTAATTTTTATCAGTTCTTCTGTGATAAATTAGCTGCACACACCTGTTATCCAGCCAAGCTGATAAGAGAGCACAAGTCAACTAAATACTGGTTTAGTGGATGCTGTGTGCAAAACAAGTCATTCCCATGCTTCTGGACTATTGAGCGTAAGTGGGGCTAAACAAGAACTGCCTGCAACTGGCCCTCTGCAGAGCTTCACAAAGCTGTGCTAAGTTTTCTGCACATCTTCCATGAGACATTTTGCATAAGAAAACTGATCCCCCCTTCTCCCTCCCTCCTTCTGAGGTGACAGCAGAGTTACTTACAATTCTTGGGCAGCCAACAAAAAGCACTGGAATCATCAAGGCTACACAAGTAAAGGTCACCCAGAAGACCACATCGTCACGGAAGACCCTGTAGTCTCCTGCCAAGACACCACATTCAGCAGTGAGGGAAACATTTCCTTTCTCACCAGTGTTTGGGGGTCAGCTTTTCCCCCTCAAAATTCTCTACGTTCAGAAATACCTGGAGTACATTGTTGAAAAGCCCTGCTTTTGAGCTCAAATCCTGACTGTTTAAGATGTATTGAACAGTTAATCAAGAAGAGAAGAACTGTCCCAGTTGAGCACAGGTCCTGTACTCTATGCTGGAACATAGATCTTGTCCATGGAACAACGATTTTTGACAAGGTACGAATTCCTCACCTCATAAGATTGAAAAGTACCAGAGTCCTACTGCCCACTAAGAAGCTGTTTTGTTGCCTCTATGGGTTTCCAAACTAACAATGTGCATCAGACTCCAGAGTATGGTACAAATGTAGCCATCCCCACACCACCAGGCAACAAGTTCTTTTGGGCTTAAGGAAAATTAAGTCGCTCAAACCCTTCTTTGCTCCCCCTGCCTTCTAAGGCCTGTGGATTCACCAGAGGTCAGGGGGAATGAGAAGTTTTGAGACTGAAAATTACAATAGCTGATGCTGAGCTCCTGCTCAGCAGGCTTACTGGCTTTTAAGCAATTCGTCTAAGGCCTTTATGCCTGAAGCCTTCAAATTAGACTGTAGATTTTCTTCTGGGATTTGTTCTGGACGGAGAACAAGAGAGCAAGTGCATGCCTGGAGCAGAACTGGTGTTCCAGAGATGGCACACAGTTTAAGCAGCAAGAGTCACCAAGTTCTCTGCAAAACAATCAGTTCCCTTTTCCCCAAGTGCATTTAATTACAGCACAGCTGAAAGAAGTTTTCAGGTACATCTCTATTCCTCCCAGCACTGGAAAGGGAATGTTAAAAATCCCAGTAAGATAAACCAGAGAGTGCCATTCGCTCCTGAGCCTTGCATTGTGCCTGCAGCACTGCAGGAACGCAGCACTCACCAAACAGAGGATTACAGTGCTTACCTAGGGGAGTAAAGAAGAGCGTCGATGAGAAGAGAAATCCCAGCACAAGTCCAATAACAAACATGCTGAGCAGGACAGAGCCAAATCTCCACCAGCTCACAACCAAGAGCAGGCCCCCACTGATTCCAGCCACTGCTGTCAAAATAAGACGCACTGAAAGAGAGAAGAGAAAATTTCAGCATTCTAAAAACTTCAGCTCCTGCAGTAACATGTTCAGCAGCTTTATTTACATTCATGTTTGGCTTTTTTACCTTTGCACGAGGTAACAAATAAAAGTATGAGAATGTGCTTCATGCACTTCACTTAGATGCCAGCCTGCAGCTGGGGATGTGCTGCTGAAAGAGTGGCAGGGGAGACCCTGAGTTCCCAGGGAGTTCAGGTGGCTACCAGCTACTGCACATGTATCAAGAAAGGAATTCTATGCGTTGGGACAGACAGAAAGAACTAATTCTGTCTAGTCTAACAAGCTGGGCCCAGACCACCTACTTCCACTTTACAGATGAAACCTACATTTGATCTGAAACCAAGGTCCATGCATTGTGAAAGGAGGAAGAAAGTATGTTGCAAATTTACAGCATTTCCAAACACCTCTTATCTTCCTTTAATAGATACTGAAATTAAATCCAGCTATTAATTCTGCATCTCTGTGATGTCAGAAGGAACACTTACTCTGCTGCATTTTCAGCTATTATGGCAATCAGAGCTCAAGCATCCAGGCATCACCCTGCTATCCTGCCTGTGGCTGGTCAACCGCACAACTGAGATTGTACCTGAAGGGTTCCTAACAAGAGTTTGGGAAGAGCACAGGATATCCTGACACATCTACTCACCATCATAACTAAGGCTGGTTACCCTGGTAATGAACACAAAGAAGACGAATGCTGTGACAATGAAGCCCATGAAGAATAAGTCTAGAGAAGAAGGAAAAAGTATTTAGCAAGCTTCATACCTAGCCCACTTCAGTGGATCTTCAGACATCTTCACATTACCACGGGGAAGGAACACAGCAGCTCACAAAAGGAGAGCCAGACATTTGGTTCTCAACAAGGGTGTCCTCAAGCACTACAGATAGTCCAAAATTACATATTTATAGCTATATTGCCCAGCACACACCCTAGTTCTAGGTTTCTATTCTTTGCATCCCAGAAACTTCCTGCTCTAAGCTTAAAGGCTCAGAGCCCATAAAAGCAAAGCAGTGGACCTAACTGGCACAGCATCACTATCAAGTGAATTTTGGTAATAACACTACCATTCTAAGTTACACAGAGCAACATTTATAAAGTTCCAACCACACTTGAGATCCAATGAAATATTCAGTACCTGTTTTCCAGAATCTGTGTCCAAAAAAGCAGGTGAAAAGACCAAGAACAGCAAAAGCAGTAAAGAATACTTTGGTAGAGAGTTTACCTACAAGAAGAAAGGCAGGTTTAGTAGAGCATTCCACCTAGCGGTCCCAACAAAGAGATTAAGGTAAGGTCAGGTTGCTGTCACAAACTTTACTGACAACTTGAGAGCTGCCACTCTGTCAGATCTGCAACGCCTGAACTAACAGTTGGCTTGGTAAGATCCCCAACAGAATATTGAAATAGTTCCAGACTGATTAAGAAATCAAGAGCTTCCTCCTGATTCAAGAGAAGTTTCTGTAAGTATATGTAACTTGTTCATAATACAGATATAAATATACCTGAAAAGTCTCTGCTCAGGTTTAAAAAAAGGGATCCAGTCATCTATAAAAATCAGTTCTATGGGATAAGTGACCCAGGCAGCAGCTATAGGCTTAATCACTGCAGCCTTCACCATTTGTCTCCCTCTCATACATTTGCCATGTAACAAAAATGATCATCAGCATCCTATTATGGCTCACCTCTGTCTTCTACGCAAATTTCTTACCTATATTTAAGCCATTTGCAGAAGTAAACCATATTTTCCATGTCCTCTGAATTAGAGAAGTTTAGCCTAGATAATGTGTCTCATGTTGTCATAGGACAAACACTGAATTGGACAACAGTCACTTGTGTCACAGCATATAAGAAAATAATGAGAACAAATTTTACTTTACGAACCAAATTCTACCAATTACTTGTGTCCCTTCTGCAGTCATAACAGGGGTGGCAGCTTTGCTGTTCCTGCACAAATTCCATCATTATATAGCTTTGTACAAAGCAGCACTACTGCTGACATTATCTTCATTCTTGTTTTAGATGACTGCCTCCTTTCAAAATACCTGCAGGATTCCTGTTAGCACCAGCAGTTAGAAAAATCTGGAGGGACCCTAATCTAGTCTGTGTTTTATTAGCTCAACTTCACATCCAGCATCTGCAGTCCCACAGATTATTTCAAATTATGTATCCAGTAGAAATGGACAAAGCTGGGGAAGCACTACAGCATTCAGAGTTACATTTGCAATCCACATATTAAACCTTCATTAAGTTAAACTTTAATTGCTAATGGTTCTGTTTAGTCTTACTTCATCATTCTAGACTGTCTCCTCAATCAAGAAGCAGTTACCATAAAGTAACAAAACACACACAGTGTAAAAGAAAGATCTCCTGCACACATTGAGAAAAGAATCTTAAAACCCCTTTTGGCACATTGGAGCACAACAAGCTGCAGAGGAGTTGGCACGGATATAGAATTCCCAACTTACTGAGGGAAGAGCAGTTGTCTACCAGGTCAGCAAAGCTGCAGGCATATGTATGCACAGGTATGTATGCAGCAGAACTGTTCCAAAGAGGATCCCACACTATGACATTGTAGATCACACCTTGTCCAGGAAGTGAGGAGAAGTAGATATTGGTCTTGTCATCAGCTGTCAGCGTAAGCATCTGGAAAAGTAAATATCTCTGTTAAAGGCTCACAGGATGGAACCCTTCCCTCCAGCATTACTGGGAGAAAATTCTCCCACTTCTCTTTTGCTCCTCTCTGCCTGAAGGCACAGTTCAGGTTCCCTACCAGCCTACCAACCCAGGCCTGGCCTCCTGGAAAGGCAGGCAAGGCTGCCATTCCACTCCCCAGCAGGGCCAGGGAGCTTGCTCACATGCCCCCTCCAGGAAGATAAGCACAAAGGAGGATAAAAACAGAGAGCCCCACTGCCACATGGCTGGTAGCCAGTGCTTCGGGCTCACCTTAATGCCATTGGCTCTGACACTCTGCACCCCAGACATTTTCCGAATGTGGCTCATGAGCACCATCTCGGACAGGTCGTTCTCGGGCAGGAAGTACTGGTACACATCGTAGCGCAGCCGCCACCGGGAGCTCTGACCTGTCCCTGAATCACAGGAGGGGGGGCTTGCTCCTCTGCAATGAAAAACACATCGGCCACAAGGCCCCAGACCTTCACATTAGTTTTCAGCAGTTACCTGTCCACAGGGTTTGCCTCTACTCTTTAGAGGTGCACACCAGCAGCTAACTCAAAGCTGGACCGTATTTGGGAGCACAGGGCACAGCAGCACCACACAGAACCACCCCGGCACAGGTGGTGGCTGTGCTGGTACCTGTGCTGTACCATCACACAGAACCACCCCGGCACAGGTGGTGGCTGTGCTGG